TGGGGGGGGGGGTTCAGCAGGTCAAGGGTGATAGGTCTTAGAGGAGCACACAGTGAATTTTATGGAGTTTTTTAGCTTTTGGCTGAGTTTGGGGTATATATGATTTCTTATGAGAATGAATGTCATGAGGACTTAATGAACACTTGGGATAACTAACATTTATGAAATATTTAGAATAATGGTAATGTTTAGTATACTATGGGATTAAACAGTTCGTTAAATGATTTCAATTGCCTCTGAACTCTGTTTTAACATTCTGGTGTTATTTTAATCATCCACACTAGTAAATTCTAAATGCAGGAGAGGAGGACTTTAAGATAGTTTATTTTACTAAGTTGAGGGTAATTTGTAATACTGTGCAAATTGTGAAGAAGATTATAGTTTGGTAATAGTATATTTGATTTGAACCATAAAATAACAGAAGACAGAGTGGAGGAATGGCAATTGGATAATGAATTACCAATATTACCAAAGTGATTGTTTAGGTAGGTGGTAATATTGACACATGGCCAAATCATGTGTCAAAAAGGGGGATGGTTGGATTAAATATTAAATATATACGAAGGAGAGGACAAAATACTTTAAAAAAAACAACAACATGTATGATAGTTTATTAACCACACCTGTATGTCAGAGGTTTTGTGCCCCACAGGTGAACTAAAGGAGAAGGTGACCCACTCTATCTAACCAGGAGACTGAAGCAGGCCTGGCGGGAAGGGCCCTACCAAGTACTGCCTTTGCCAGCAGAATAGCTGAGAGATCCATCTGGGTGCATGTCACTCACTGCAAAAAGGTAAACCCAGCTACACCTGACGAACAAACACAGAGTTAGGAGAAAGAACCGATCACCACTAGGGCTCGGGGGTTGGCTCCTTAATGAAGATTCCCTTACCCTGTCTGATCATCCCTGTGTGAGTTCGATAGAAGGTGAAGCAATGGGTTGGCCTCTGGCGTCTGACATGTTCTCAGGGCGAGGGTGGGGATTCACAGGTCTCCCGACAGTAGGTAGCTGTCTGATTGTGGGGGCCATATTCCTAACACACACGGACCCTCCTGTTTCAGCCAGAAGTGGTAGTTAACCTAACACAAGTTGAAAAGGCATAGGAGACAGCTAGACGTAGGGAAAGGGGAAATACTAGGGACTTTAGGGAAGGACATCACCAATCTCCATACACAGTTTAGGGACAAGTGTAGTATTGTGAAAGTAGGGAATTATCAGAAATGGCAGTGCGACCCATATGAGGGTAGGTACTGTCTGAAAGTCTGAATTATGCTAAAACAGATTACAGACCTGACAAGTGAGATATCTTCTTCAACTGGGGCACCCTATAGAGTAAACCTCTCTGAGGGAGGTAGTGAGATAGTGCAAACTATAGACCTGAAGGAAGTAGTACAGATGGAGATGGAGTAAATAGATTTTAACCTGTGGTTGGAATGGATTCAGTATACGGTCTAAAGAGGACTGTTATGCCTGTAGGACAGCCAAACCAAGGTTAACAACTACTCCGTTCCCCTTGACAGGCTTTGACTCTCTGTCAGGTTTATCCTCCATGCAAGCCACCTGGGAATGTGGTGAAAGAGTCTTATGGTAACTTGCACTATCTGTTTCCCCCGATAACAAAGTCATCCCGACCTGGGTTGCCTCAGTTTGAAGTCACAGGGGATTCTTATTGTTTTTCTAGGACTAATAAGATAGGATACAGGGTAGGGCATCTTAGCTCCTGCTCCCACACAGAGAATGTCACAACTAAAAGAGACCATGACTAATCTCTCCTCTTTGTTGCAGCCAGAGGATTTTAGGAGCCAAAACCAGGCCCGTGCTGACATCTGATGGTTGTGTGGTGATAACTGATTGTGAACTCACCTACATACGCAAACAATCAAACGTGTCAGAGACTGGTGAGTTGTCACATAGAAAGTAGGACCTCCTCCTGGGATCCTTTGATGAAAGGATATATATTGATGGGATAGGAGTACCCCGAGGGGTTCCAGAACAATTCAAAGCTAGGAATCAGATCGCAGCTGGGTTTGAATTAAGTATTTTCTGGTGGTCAACAATTAATAAAAACATAGATTGGATGAATTATATTTACTATAACCAGCAAAGATTAGCTGAGCAGACAGCGGCAACTAGCTTAATGACATGGCAGAATAGAATAGCTTTAGATATGCTTTTGGCTGAGCGGGACGGGGTTTGTGTTCTGTTTGGATATATGTGCTGTACTTTCATCTCCAACAATATAGCACCGGACGGGCCCGTGACCAAAGCGCTTCAGGGACTCACCACGCTGGCGAACGAACTGGCTGAGAACTCTGGTGTTGATAGCTCCATAAACGGTTGGTTTGATAACATATTTGGTAAAATGGAAAACTATTGTTGTGACTATTCTGGGTGAAGTTGTAGCTTCTATGGGTATACTTGTTCTTTGTGGATGTTGTCTTATTTCCTGTGTCTGAGGGTTGGTGAGAAAAGGAGATGGAGAAGGTGGTTTCCAAACAGATGGTGAGATACGGCCCAATCCCGGACTCCGACCTAAGGAATGAAGGATATGACCTACCAGGCTTGGTGGAGTGACACTCTAGAAGGTGTCTAAAGGGGGCCAAAATGTACTTCCCTGTTGGTGTTTTATGTTTTAATAATCTTATGTTTTGTGTTCTATTAATCCTGTGTTTTATGCTTTATTAATCAAGTTAACCATGTGAATGTTTGTCTTTCCTTATGTGATGGTTTGAACTTCTCTGATGACTGGTAACAGTTTGCAAGTTGGGTGTAGATGGAAGGACTGAAGGCCTTTTATTATCAAATTGTCTATTAATAAAAGTGTGATTCTTTTTGTTTGTATTGTATTTTAATGAGTGACACCCTAGAGGGCGTCAAAAGGGGGAATTGTTGGGTTCTATTTTTCTCATAATTGGATCTGTATGTGATGAATAGCTTGGAAGGAATGCATTAATGAACTGTATTGATATAAATTGTTTCACATAACAGGCTGTTATTCATGTAAGGAACGTTAGGGGCTAGGATGAGATAAGACTTGTATTTCTCACAGATACGAACACTCTCTCTTTGTTGTCTGTGAAACTGTCCTTGAACATGGGTACATGGAGTACAGTGGAATGGTGTCTTTTGGGTGCTGACTCCACAGGTTATAATGATAGCAACTTATGCCTGGCAACAAATGGAATGCCGAGGAGTTGGGACCAACCCCTGCGCCAACGGATTGGCTGAACCACACTCAGTCCTTTGCTCTGGTTGGCCAACAGAAGAAGTGCAGGCTTTCTGTCAGAGTATTTGAAGAAGAACTTAGAACAATGGATCAGTTCTCTGTCTGCCCTGCGTGGTTTTTCAGTGAGCCCGTATACGAACCTTCATACTTATCATACATACATTTTGCATATAATAAATTAAGCTTGGATTGAAGATCTCTTGATTCTTATTCCAATACCAGATTTGAATTACGCAATTTCTAACAAATGTCCGAAATGAGATTACAAAAACAACAGAGCTAGCAAGCTTGCATTTGCTAGCTTGTGGCAAAAACGCTAATTAGCATAACAAAGATAAACTACATAATCGTCAGCGAGTGAGTCCACAACATAAACACCTGAAGAGTAAGAAATATGTACTCAGATTTCTGAAGGACGCACACTGGCCTTGGTAAAACAAATAATGCTAACTAAAAGAAATAACAGTAGATGGCTAGAACTTATCACTTGACTTTTTTCTAGTTACTTCCTTCTCCTCAGAGCTGGAGATAGCCCAGCATCCTCTGCTCCACATCACCGGTGAGCGGAGCTACAGCTCTCCTATACTGAACTGATATTTAATAGGCGATATGCACAGGCGAGCATGACATATTTCCGGTTAAATCTCTGGATTGATGTAAACTTCCGGTTATCGTAGAATGCAGTGTTACCGTATGCTAGCATTGAATGCTTGTCGTCAAAAACATCCGAAACGGTTTTTCGTCGTTGTTGTTGTTTATCTTAATGTTTATGTTAATGTTTTTACTTGTAATACTTCGTCTTGACTTATAACACGATGACGTGTAAACGTACGAAAATGTCCTTTCAAAAACGGGATGACAGCTCTTCCAGCCATCACTGCTGTGTGCCGCAATGTACAGTGTCTGCCAGATGCAATTCTTCTGTTTGCTTTTTTTACTTTTCCTAAAGACAGTGAATTACATACGCCCATTCAGGAACCGGCTAACAAGGTATCGATGGAGTTTTTCACACTATCGTCATGGCTGAGCCGGCCAAAAAGAAGCAGAAAGCTAGGAAAGCATTGTCGGAGGAACAGAGAAAGAGGAAACGGCAGGCTGACCGAGCGAGGAGTCAGACACAAGTAAACATAGGAGCTGCCAAATATCTATATGTAGGGGGAGCTCTATAGAGAAAAAAAGCGAAGAAATGACCAAAACTGCATAGCGCCCCTTTAATATTACAATGTTGTAAATAAGACAGTTGACAAAATAAATTGTAAAATGATTGTACAATAATTCATGTGTCTGTTCAGTTACTTTTCATAGAGAGGTATTTTGACATGTATGTGTTAAAGAAAAACAAATCACATCTCTCTTTCAGGGAGCTTAATACAGTGCTGTCTCGGCAAATGCGCTGCACGAAAATGTCATCATGGGCACAGACAACAAAATCACACCATTCCATGCCTGTGATGAGTAACTGTCCTTGGACTTGCCAATAATAACAATGGCTTTCCTTCAATTTGTGTAGGCCATGGTCAAATCTCAGGAACTTGCAGTCTATGTAGCTGGCTACATTTGGGCATTTAATTTCAACTAGACCAAATGATGGTCGCTCAAGTGGGTCATATACGAGCCCATCAGGCGATGCACCCAGCCAAGGTGCGCCCGGATGCACGACTAGCCCACACTTTGTCAGATTAAGATTTTTTAGAACTGCATAGTCCTTCAATGCACCTGCTTCCATTTCCAGCCCCCTTTTCATTAGTGGTGTTTGTCTTGTCCCTCTGATAATTATTTCTGCCAGTTTTCTGCTGTGCTTGTACCTCTAACATGGCTTACCTCCCGGAAATGTGTAGCAGTCACTCTCTCCTTCCTCAGTGAATGCCACTCGGGTGTTTCACTTTGGCATCTGGTTGCTTCCTCAATCAGGTGTGACTGTGACAAAGTCACAGACAGAGAACTGAGGTGAAGCTTTTCTTGATCCGTCATGATCTCGTATGAACAGTCTGTTGGTTGTAAATGGTAACCGTCCAGTGGCACTTTTGGAAACGGTGGTGCATCCTCATGGATGACAACACTGTCAGGTGGAGGTGGTGGGTGTTGATATGACAGGATACTGCCAGTTTGTACCTTGCCAAAAATGGAGTCCACAAGTGGTTTGTCAGATGTGATGTTTATTCTGCAGATAAGGGGAAGAGAGTCTGGTTCCATGTCAGCATAGGCAGGTAGTGGGTTGAGGGTTGATGGGTCTGGTAGCTCACCGCTGTAGCCCTTGTAAAGTGTAGATCTGGAATAACAATATCAGAAAAAGTAAAGGGTTCACTAGGAAATACACCAGAATCTAACAGCGATTAATAACATTTATTTCGCAACACATTGTAGTCTGCCTATTTAATTGGACTCTGCATACCTAATTCCGCTTGCCGGAGTAGCATCTGGTTTGGGCTTCACTACAACCATGGCATCCACAGGTCCTGGCTTCACTCCCTATTTATTTATGAGATGGTATTAGGAGAGATGCTAGTATGCATGTGACACAACTGTCTGGTATTGAAATGATACAAACCATTATTCGTGGTTTATGCCACCTGCTCTGTTTCAGTGCACGAAAGTACAGGATGGACGACAGACATGCCACATTCAGAGTAATGGGCAGTCTGATATAGTAATGCAACCAAATGATGGCATATCCCACACCCAGCCACACAGGAACAGTAGCTTTTAACAAGCACAACTGGCTGTGAATCACGCAATGTCATCTGAAATACACAGAAGCATAATTTAATGGGTTTTGAAAGACGAGGGTCTACAGCAGCAGGAGTAGGAGCAAAACTTGTTCTTTCTACTTTTTACTGGTGTAAGCAACTTATCTACTGTCTCATGTCACTTTTGTGCTTTCTGCATCATTTTCCTACTGTCTTGCACCACTTGGCTATACTGTCTCCCACCACTTACCTATTGTCTTGTGCCATTTACCTACCTTCAAACAGTATTGGCAGAGCAGTAGGTGAGTGGTGCAACATTGTAGCCTAGTACCAATAACAACAGTAGAGTGAAAGTTTTGCTCCTAATTCCTCTTGAAAAGTAGAAACATCAAGTACAAAAGCAAGGAAGTTGGGCCATATGTTTATAAAGAAAGAAGTAAAGATGACAGGACAGTTTTGAGTAGAACATCAGCAGTTTGAAGAATAGCTGAGTGGAATATGTTACTGTCATTGCAGTCATCAAGTCAGGAAAAAGTAGTAATCTCATTATTGTTTACATTTCAAACCAAACTCCAATTTGTTTACAACAGACCCAACAACAAAGCATGGCAATTCCCACTCAGCTACCCTGGTCTGTATTAGGCTACCACTGTTCAGCTATCGTGAAAACCACTAAAGTTCAAAAGTGTTCTCTTAGCAATGGCAATCAAAGCTGTGGTAACATTAAACGAGTAAAACGTGTTGAACGGAACCTTGAACAAGTTCAACAGAACTTTGAACGTGTCACTTAATCTAGTCCTACTCTCAGCTGGTGTGGTGGCTTTAGTTTCTTAATTGAGCGGTAGCAGTGGGCTCTCACAGAGATAAATAAATAAATAAAAAATAAATTGGTCATTTAGCAGACGCTCTTATCCAGAGCGACTTACAGGAGCAATTAGGGTTAAGTGCCTTGCTCAAGGGCACATCGACAGATTTTTCACCTAGTCGGCTCGGGGATTAGAACCAGCGACCTTTCGGTTACTGGTACCACGCTCTTAACCACTAAGCTACCTGCCTAAATAAATGTTATTAATCGCTGTTAGATTCTGGTGTATTTTCTAGTGAACCCTTTACTTTTCCTGATATTGTTATTCCAGATCTACACTTTACAAGGGCTACAGCGGTGAGCTACCAGACCCATCAACCCTCAACCCTCAACCCACTACCTGCCTATGCTGACATGGAACCAGACTCTCATTTGTAGCCCTGTTTTTACCTGATACTTTCATAAAAGTACAAACACATGAAGTGAGAGGTATATACACATGATTAAACTTGATTTAAAGCATGATTAACCTGAAGCAGGACGGAGTCATGACTTAAAACACCAAAGCAAGACTACTAGCTCAGGCTAGCTAGCGTTAGCATATTACCTTCAAAGTTGCAAAGAAAAGAAGAAACGTAAAATTTGAAGCCTTTATCCAGTTTGCTACGTGGTGTCGTACTGGATGTCCGGACGACCCTCCGTATATCATTAACAGATACTTTAGGCAACTCCAGCAAACACCTTGTAAACTTAATCTCTGCCATCATAACGGTCTACTGTCACTGTCTAATGTTTTTTTCCGGTAACCGGAAATGCCCAACCATCCTTACGCCAATGCGGAAGTGATGCGTGCATAGAGCCTATTCTCCATAGCCTTTCGTAGGAGTACGTTATATACACTGCTCAAAAAAATTAAGGGAACACTTAAACAACACAATGTAACTCCAAGTCAATCACACTTCTGTGAAATCAAACTGTCCACTTAGGAAGCAACACTGATTGACAATATATTTCACATGCTGTTGTGCAAATGGAATAGACAGCAGGTGGAAATTATAGGCAATTAGCAAGACACCCCCAATAAAGGAGTTGTTCTGCAGGTGGTGACCACAGACCACTTCTCAGTTCCTATGCTTCCTGGCTGATGTTTTGGTCACTTTTGAATGCTGGCGGTGCTTTCACTCTAGTGGTAGCATGAGACGGAGTCTACAACCCACACAAGTGGCTCAGGTAGTGCAGCTCATCCAGGATGGCACATCAATGCGAGCTGTGGCAAGAAGGTTTGCTGTGTCTGTCAGCGTAGTGTCCAGAGCATGGAGACGCTACCAGGAGACAGGCCAGTACATCAGGAGACGTGGAGGAGGCCGTAGGAGGGCAACAACCCAGCAGCAGGACCGCTACCTCTGCCTTTGTGCAAGGAGGAGCAGGAGGAGCACTGCCAGAGCCCTGCAAAATGACCTCCAGCAGGCCACAAATGTGCATGTGTCTGCTCAAACGGTCAGAAACAGACTCCATGAGGTTGGTATGAGGGCCCGACGTCCACAGGTGGGGGTTGTGCTTACAGCCCAACACCGTGCAGGACGTTTGGTATTTGCCAGAGAACACCAAGATTGGCAAATCTGCCACTGGTGCCCTGTGCTCTTCACAGATGAAAGCAGGTTTACACTGAGCACATGTGACAGACGTGACAGAGTCTGGAGACGCCGTGGAGAACGTTCGGCTGCCTGCAACATCCTCCAGCATGACCGGTTTGGCGGTGGGTCAGTCATGGTGTGGGGTGGCATTTCTTTGGGGAGCCGCACAGCCCTCCATGTGCTCGCCAGAGGTAGCCTGACTGCCATTACGTACCGAGATGAGATCCTCAGACCCCTTGTGAGACCATATGCTGGTGCGGTTGGCCCTGGGTTCCTCTTAATGCAAGACAATGCTAGACCTCATGTGGCTGGAGTGTGTCAGCAGTTCCTGCAAGAGGAAGGCATTGATGCTATGGACTGGCCCGCCCGTTCCCCAGACCTGAATCTAATTGAGCACATCTGGGACATCATGTCTCGCTCCATCCACCAACAGACTGTCCAGGAGTTGGCGGATGCTTTAGTCCAGGTCTGGGAGGAGATCCCTCAGGAGACCATCCGCCACCTCATCAGGAGCATGCCCAGGCGTTGTAGGGAGGTCATACAGGCACGTGGAGGCCACACACACTACTGAGCCTCATTTTGACTTGTTTTAAGGACATTACATCAAAGTTGGATCAGCCTGTAGTGTGGTTTTCCACTTTAATTTCGAGTGTGACTCCAAATCCAGACCTCCATGGGTTGATACATTTGATTTCCATTGATAATTTTTGTGTGATTTTGTTGTCAGCACATTCAACTATGTAAAGAAAAAAGTATTTAATAAGATTATTTCATTCATTCAGATCTAGGATGTGTTATTTTAGTGTTCCCTTTATTTTTTGGAGCAGTGTAATTCAGCACATTAAAATCAAACAGATACGGTGTGTAGCCAGGTGTAGTCAACATCCAAAATCAACATCAACTAATGCATCGTATTCCTGATGCCAAACTTTCGTGAGCGTGTACAGGTGCAAAACAACAAATGTTCAAACAACGCCGATCAGTCAAATAACTGCTCTTCTTTATTTGAGAAATTAAAATAATCTTTGACCAGTGGGAAGTCTTATTGTTTGCTCAAATATACACAATAACTGGTTCAAAAGCAGGAAACATACCGGCAAAATAGCTAATCTTGACAATCCTGGCATTTACACTGAAAGCTAAATAATTTATTACAACAGATTTAAAGCATACAAACACTTAATCATGTGTACTGCTCACTAACTGGTTTGAATCAAGGAATTGTGTGCTGAATTCAGGTTCAGTGCATTTGGAGTTCATACATGTTTGGGTGATATAAAATCAAAATCAGTCTCTTGAATACAGAGATGAGACAAACAAGCCTCTTGCACACAGACAACTAGCTGTTGGGTTAATTTATTCACATTAATTCAGCATCCAGCATTGTTTTCCTGAATAAAATGTCTGGATGTTAGTCTTGATTAAATTGAGATCACAGATCCTCATTGGCTAAATTACCATCCAATTAAGAATACACAAAACAGTGAAGTACATATTTTTTAAATGATATATAGTATCTTAGTGAACATTTTCTAGGAGACACGTTCAGTTAAGAGTCCCATATCCTACAATACTCCACACCAATCTTCTTTCCACACTATACAGTATAAGAATGTGCCCACTTAGCTTTTGGGATTCTAATACGCCATATTTGATTGTCCATCATTTTAAGATAGTTGAACGTCTGGACCATTTTTCGGGTTGTGAGAGCTTGGCCTCATCCATTGGTCCTATAGAATGGGACGGCCTCCTTTTTATCTTGCAGCAGCTGAAAGGGAGAGTTCAAAATTAACAAACTGGTTATGTATTATAAAATCCTAACCCAGGGTTATACAGTATTTGAGAGGTGTGGTTGGATAAATGAGAATGCTCCTTATAACATCCCTCCCATTCGAATAGGAATTTCAGTAGCCAAACGTTGTCGAACATTGCACATAGAAATGCCATGAATAGAGCTGACGTGATAGAGCTCTACATGATAGAGAGGCATGCTTGTTCTACATAGCATATTTCTATCTGAACGTTATATAACATTGCCTCCTGTTGAACCGCCCATCGTGTGTTTACTTTGTGGTTACTCAATAGAACAGTAGAGATCAGTATTATATTATTGTCCAGATATCAGAGTTCATATGGGCTGTGTTGGCTGAAAGTGGCCCTAGGCCTAGGGGTTAATTGCAGCATGTTGCACAAATGACAGTGGCCCACATGGTCATTAGACAGATGAAAAGAGAGGAAGGTGGGGATTTTTATGCCCAATTCCCATTTTGAGGGTAGCCCTACAGATGTAGGATCTTAATTTGATCACACTGTTGCAGGACAACTTTTCTGCAATGCAGGCATTGTAAATTGTGTAGTGTATTTGGGGTTTAAAAAGGCTTCTGAAGTTTGTAATTTCGACTTTGAATATTCAGACTTGATTTTCCCTTATGAAAAATGAAAAATGAAAAACGTCCATTAATGATAATCCACATAATAATTCACATTTCCTGTTGCTGCAGGATTGTTTTCCTGCTGTAGCAAACTGGCTCAAATTAAGATCCTACAGCTGTATATACACTACCAGTCAAAAGTTTGGACACACCTACTCATTCAAGGGTTTTTCTTTATTTTTACTAATTTATACATTGTATAATAATAGTAAAGACATCAAAACTATGAAATAACACATATGGAATCATGTAATAATCAAAAAAGTGTTAAACAAATCAAAAACTATTTTATATTTGAGATTCTTCAAATAGCCACCCTTTGCCTTGATGACAGCATGAGGTAGTCACCTGAAATGCATTTCAATTAACAGGTGTGACTTCTTAAAAGTTAATTTGTGGAATTTCTTTCCTTCTTAATGCATTTGAGCCAATCAGTTGTGTTGTGACAAGGTAGGGGAGGGCATACAGAAGATAGCCCTATTTGGTAAAAGTCCATATTATGGCAAGAACAGCTCAAATAAGCAAAGAGAAACGACAGTCCATCTTTACTTTAAGACATGAAGGTCAGTCAATACGGAACATTTCAAGAACTTTGAAAGTTTCTTCAAGTGCAGTCGCAAAAACCATCAAGCGCTATGATGAAACTGGCTCTCATGAGGACCACCACAGGAATGGAAGACCCAGAGTTACCTCTGCTGCAGAGGATACGTTCATTAGAGTTACCAGCCTCAGAAATTGCAGCCCAAATAAATGTTTCACAGAGTTCAAGTCACAGACACATCTCAACATCAACTGTTCAGAGGGGACTGTGTGAATCAGGCCTTCATGGTCGAATTGCTGCAAAGAAACGACTACTAAAGGACACCAATAATAAGAAGAAACCTGCTTGGGCCAAGAAACACGAGCAATGGACATTAGACCGGTGGAAATTTTTCCTTTGGTCTGGAGTCCAAATTTTGAGATTGTTGGTTCCAACTGCCATGTCTTTATGAGATGCGGTGTGGGTGAACGGAGGATCTCTGCATGTATAGTTCCCACCGTAAAGCATGGGGAAGGAGATGTTATGGTGTGGGGGTGCTTTGCTGGTGACACTGTGTGATTTATTTAGAATTCAAGGCACACTTACCCAGCGTGGCTACCACAGCATTCTGCAGCAATACACCATCCCATCTGGTTTGGGCTTAATGGGACTATCATTTGTTTTTCAACAGGACAATGACCCAACACACCTACAGGCTGTGTAAGGGCTATTTGACCAATAAGAAAAGTGATGAGTGCTGCATCAGATGACCTGGCATCCACAATCTCTCGACCTCAACCCAATTGAGATGGTTTGGGATGAGTCGGACGGCAGAGTGAAGGAAAAGCAGCCAAGAAGTGCTCAGCATATGTGGGAACTCCTTCAAGACTGTTCGAAAAGCATTCCAGGTGAAGCTGGTTGAGAGAATGCCAAGAGTGTGCAAAGCTGTCATCAAGGCAAAGGGTGGCTCTTGATTTGTTTAACACTTTTTTGGTTACTACATGATTCTATATGTGTTATTTCATAGTTTTGATGTCTTCACTATTATTCTACAGTGTAGAAAATAGTAAAAATAAAGAAAAACCCTTGAATGAGTAGGTGTTTCCAAACGTTTGACTGGTACTGTATGCCTAAGGCACATACTATACACACAGGGTCTGCCCGGGGACCATTTACATTTGCCGGCCCCGGAGCCACACAATAGGGGCTGTCCAAATTAATATGTGTTTGTGTGAGGAAGTCTGTGTCTTTCATCCCCTGCTGGTCTTTCAAAGGTGGGGTGAGGAAATCACAGGAAATACCTTCCCCTGCTCTCCCCAGCCCAGACCTATTACTGAACGTGCACAATGAGACATTAAAAGCTCCCTGCTTCCTGGGAATAATTGCATGTCCACGCCTGATAAAACAAAGTTGTAATGTAAAGGGATGGGGGAAAGGACTGAGAGAACTTGGAAAAGTGAAGTAGAAGACTACTGGTATGCATGTTTCTCTTGAACTTTGATCGTTTGATTGAAGCTTTCCTCCTTGGTTTTCAATTACTTGAAGGGTAGGAGTCATGGGAACTGCTTGGACTAATTGCTTGTTAGAATCTTTTCACACTACTAAGCCGAGCCAAGCTATTCTGCACTGGTCTGGTTAAGCATCCACCATAGTTGCAGGAACTGTGCTGGAAAGGACCATGTGAAACACAGTTGAAGTCGGAAGTTTACATACACCTTAGCCAAATACATTTAAACTCCGTTTTTCACAATTACTGACATTTAATCCTAGTAAAAATTCCCTGTCTTAGGTCAGTTAGGATCACCACTTTATTTTAAGAATGTGAAATGTCAGAATGATAGTAGATAATTATTTATTTCAGCTTTTATTTATTTCATCACATTCCCAGTGGGTCAGAAGTTTACATACACAAAATTAGTATTTGGTAGCATTGCCTTTAATGTGTTTAACTTGGGTCAAACATTTCGGGTAGACTTCCACAAGCTTCCCACAATACGTTGGGTGAATTCTGGCTCATTCCTCCTGACAGAGCTGGTGTAACTGAGTCAGGTTCGTGGGCCTCCTTGCTTGCACACGCTTTTTCAGTTCTGCCCACACATTTTCTATAGGATTGAGGTCAGGGCTTTGTGATGGCTATTCCAATACCTTGACTTTGTTGTCCTTAAGCCATTTTGCCACAACTTTGGAAGTATGCTTGGGGACATTGTCCATTTGGAAGACCCATTTGCAACCAAGCTTTAACTTCCTGACTGATGTCTTGAGATGTTGCTTCAATATATCCACATACTTTTCCTTCCTCATGATGCCATCTCTTTTGTGAAGTGCACCAGTCCCTCCTGCAAAAGCATTCCCACAGCATGATGCTGCCACCCCCGTGCTTCACAGTTGGGATGGTGTTCTTCGGCTTGCAAGCAACCCCCTTTTTCCTCCAAACATAACGATGGTCATTATGGCCAAACAGTTAAAATTTTGTTTCATCTGACCAAAGGACACTTCTCCAAAAAGAACGATCTTTGTCCCCATGTGCAGTTGCAAATCATAGTCTGGCTTTTTTATGGCGGTTTTGGAGCAGTGGCTTCTTCCTTGCTGAGCGGCCTTTCAGGTTATGTCGATATAGGACTCGTTTTACCGTGGATATAGATACTTTTGTACCTGTTTCCTCCAGCATCTTCACAAGGTCCTTTGCTGTTGTTCTGGGATTGATTTGCACTTTTCGCACCAAAGTACGTTCCTCTCTAGGTGACAGAACGCATCTCCTTCCTGAGTGGTATGACGGCTGCGTGGTCGCATGGTGTTTATACTTGCGTACTATTGTTTGTACAGATGAACATGGTACCTTCAGGCATTTGGAAATTGCTCCCAAGGATGAACCAGACTTGTGGAGGTCTACCATTTATTTTCTGAGGTCTTGGCTGATTTCTTTTAATTTTCCCATGATGTCAAGCAAAGAGGCACTGAGTTTGAAGGTAGGCCTTGAAATACATCCACAGGTACACCTCCAATTGACTCAAATAATGTCAATTAGCCTATCAGAAGCTTCTAAAGCCATGACATCATTTTCTGGAATTTTTGAAGCTGTTTAAAGGCACAGTCAACTTAGTGTATGTAAACTTCTGACCCACTGGAATTGTGATACAGTGAATTATAAGTGAAATTATTTGTCTGTAAACAATTGTTGGAAAAATTACTTGTGTCATGCACAAAGTAGATGTCCTAACCGACTTGCCAAAACTATAGTTTGTTATCAAGAAATGTGTGGAGTGGTTGAAAAACAAGTTTAATGACTCCAACCTAAGTGTATGTAAACTTCCGACTTCAACGGTATATAACAGCAAATGACAATGCTAACTTGCTAGTAAGTAAGCAGTTTAAACGTACCACCTGAGGACTTCACCCCGAGAAGCATGACACCATCTTTGGTGCTGTCCGGCCTGCTCTGGAAAGAGGCACTGCAAAGACGAGAGAGCAGAGCATATTGGGAGTAAAATATAGTATTTTTCTTTAAAAGATTACGGTATATTTTAACTGTTCAAATGGGGTCTGGTCTAAATGGTATCTTCATGTACAGTCCAAAGACTATACTTACTTTTCTGTTCCATTATCAGTTGCCTCTGTTCAGGGACAAAAGAAAAAGGTGTGATACTTAGTTTGTAATGTCAACATGTGTATGTAGACATAGTGCTGTGCAGAGTCACATCTAATTCAGTCATTAAGTAATACCTGTGTGATCGTGGACCTTCATGCATTTAAATCTGAGAACGAAGATGACAGCAGCCACCACAACTCCCAGGACTGGCAAAAGAATCCACAGCAGCTTATTTTCTTTAGACACAGAGGAAGAACATATTTATTTAATGTGGCAGACAAAACTGTTGTTTTTCACATAGTATGAGAAGTTGGATTAGTACCATTGTTGGAACAATGTGTCATGTAGCCAATTTATGATGAGCTGTAATTGATCACGGCTTGACTAATGACTTTGTACACACACACTGACAACACAGTCAAATGTGAAGTGTGTGCACCCTCTGGTGGGTGTGTTATTGGTAAAACATAGATCAGGGATAGGCAACCCTGGTCCTGGAGTGCCGCAGGCACATCATGTTTTTGATTTAACCGACCTGGAAGACCAGGTGTGTTGAATTGATCAATTAGCTCAGTTGGTCAGGTGTGGTGCCTAGTTGGAACACTGCCAGTCAAAATGTTCGACACACCTACTCATTCAAGGGTGTTTCTTTATTTTGACCAATTTATACATTGTAGAATAATAGTGAAGACATCAAAACTATGAAATAACACATATGGAGTCATGTAGTAACCAAAAAAGTGTTAAAAATATACAAATATATTTTATATTTGAGAATCTTCAAATAGCCACCCTTTGCCTCGATGACAGCTTTGCACACTCTTGGCATTATCTCAACCAGCTTCATAAGGTAGTCACCAGTTGTGTTGTGACAAGGTAGGGGGGTATACAGAATATAGCCCTATTTGTCCATATTATGGCAAGAACAGCTCAAATAAGCAAAGAGAAACGACAGTCCATCATTACTTTAAGACATGAAGGTCAGTCAATACGGAACATTTCAAGAACTTGAAGAAGTTTCTTCAAGTGCAGTCGCAAAAACCCATCAAGCGCTATGATGAAACTGGTTCTCATGAGGACCGCCACAGGAATGGAAGATCCGGAGTTACCTCTGCTGCAGAGGATAAGTTCATTAGAGTTACCAGCCTCAGAAATTGCAGCCCAAATAAATGCTTCACAGAGTTCAAGTCACAGACACATTTCATCATCAACTGTTCAGAGGGGACTGTGTGAATCAGGCCTTCATGGTCGAATTGCTGCAAAAAAAAACACTACTAAAGGACACCAATAAGAAGAAGAGATCTGCTTGGGCCAAGAAACACGAGCAATGGACATTAGACCGGTGGGAATTTGTCCTTTGGTCTGGAGTCCAAATTGGAGATCTTTGGTTCCATCCGCCGTGTCTTTGTGAGATGCGGTGTGGATGAACGGATGATCTCCGCATGTGTGGTTTCCACCGTAAAGCATGGAGGAGGAGGTGCTTTGCTGGTGACACTGTCTGTGATTTATTTAGAATTCAAGGCACACTTAATGAGCATGGCTACCACAGCATTCTGCAGTGGTACGCCATCCCATCTGGTTTGGGCTTAGTGGGACTATCATTTGTTTTTCAACAGGACAATGACAATGGAAAAGCATTCCAGTTGAAGCTGGTTGAGAGAATGCCAAGAGTGTGCAAAGCTGTCATCAAGGCAAAGGGTGGCTATTTGAAGAATCTCAAATCTCAAATATATTTTGATTTGTTTAACACTTTTTTGGTTACTACATGATTCCATATGTGTTATTTCATAGTTTTGATGTCTTCACTGTTATTCTACAATGTAGAACATAGTAAAAATAAAGAAAAACCCTTGAATGAGTAGGTGTGCAACTGTTTCGTGCTGAAACCCACATATTAAACACCAATGGTATTCACTAAGTTGATGGTTTATATTTTGGATAATGTTCATCTTATTTTAATTATTTTATATGTTATAAGGCCACAGAGGACCAGAGATAATTACAGACACCTGTGATAATCTGAAGTACCCAGAAGAGCCACTAGATGTCTTGTGATAAATTACATAAAATCTTTGAAAGTTACCCAAATTCTGGTAGTTTACTGGTAAACTTTAAAAGTTTCCAGTAATATACCCTCCCTTTGCAACCCTAATTGAGGGACAGTGATAGTGCTTTAGACTTGCCTCTAATTCCACCGCCTGAAATTGAAGAAAACATTAATGGTAAACCATTGTTATGGGGTCATGAGGATAATACATCAAGTGTTTGAATTAAGAAATGAAGGCTATTCCAAATTATGTAATATCTACAGAAGCTGTTTTGTCATATTTATTTATTAGAATGAGTATACTTAAGTCACTTCCACTGATTGTTAGCTAGAAGTGGATAAAGTTAGCTGAGGTTTTTAGTGGTTGTTAAGCGAAAACCCAACCATGCATTACAATCTTCCTTTCCGATATAGACTACTTCCAGGGTGAGGAACCATCTACACCTAGTTGTAAAATCCTGAACTTCACCTTTAAGTTACAGTCTTATCCAGTCCCAAGTTATTGGTTCAGTGGGTTATTTGATGGAATATAAGTTAATAAAGCAGATTGACAGTAAATTGTACCTTTCTCTTCTGGTCTGGAGGTGGTCAAGGATCCTGGTGAAAGTCTCTGTGCAGTTGTCTGAATAACTGAAGAATGACAATTTTAGCTTTACTGTAATCCGTAGGCTATTCCCCCTTACTGAGCAGAAGGTGTCTTTAACCCAATGCTTTGCTTGCTATCATCCATCTTATCTCTATTGTAATTTGAGAGAGGGTAACATAATCTCCTCTTACCTTGTAAGTGAAGGTTTGGTGTAGGCTGAACTGTGGTCATATCTTGGGGTGGGTGACTGGTGGTAACAGTTGTTGTGGCCTGGCTCGCTGCCCCTTTTTCTGTTACCCCCGTGAAGGGAGTAGAATGCATTCGTTTAGAGCATTTCTAACATTTAAGGTCTGGGGCAGTATGCATCAAGCATCTTAGTAGGAGTGCTGATCTAGGATCAGGTCCCTCCTGTTCATGTAATCTTATTAATTGTGATCTAAAAGGCAAGACTGATCCTAAATCAGCACTCTGAGATCCTGTATATACGGTCGGCCCCTGGTTATTATCATTTGGTTATTCCAACAGCCATACATCTGTCGAGCTTATTTGACATATGAGCACATCTGTATAGGACCTCTGTCATAGAAATACAGTTTATAGAGCAGACTGTAGTCAGTTTTTTTTCCCTCCAAATTACATTTCAATGGCAAATTTAAATTAAATGTCTATGGTTACTATATGATTCCATATGTGTTATTTCATAGTTTTGATGTCTTCACTATTATTCTACAAAGTAGAAAATAGTAAAAATAAAGAAAAACCCTTGAATGAGTAGGTGTGCAACTGTTTCGTGCTGAAACCCACATATTAAACACCAATGGTATTCACTAAGTTGATGGTTTATATTTTGGATAATGTTCATCTTATTTTAATTATTTTATATGTTATGTTAGAGGGTAACATAATCTCTTCTTACCTTGTAAGTGAAGGTTTGATGTAGGCTGAACTGTGGTCATATCTTGGGGTGGGTGACTGGTGGTAACAGTTGTTGTGGCCTGGCTCGCTGCCCCTTTTTCTGTTACCCCCGTGAAGGGAGAAGAATGCATTCGTTTAGAGCATTTCTAACATTTAAGGTCTGGGGCAGTATGCATCAAGCATCTTAGTAGGAGTGCTGATCTAGGATCAGGTCCCTCCTGTTCATGTAATCTTATTAATTGTGATCTAAAAGGCAAGACTGATCCTAAATCAGCACTCTGAGATCCTGTATATACGGTCGGCCCCTGGTTATTATCATTTGGTTATTCCAACAGCCATACATCTGTCGAGCTTATTTGACATATGAGCACATCTGTATAGGACCTCTGTCGTAGAAATACAGTTTATAGAGCAGACTGTAGTCAGTTTTTTTTCCTCCAAATTACATTTCAATGGCAAATTTAAATTAAATGTCTATGAAGTCTCACCATCATCCTTAGCAGGTGGAGATGTGGAATGCACTGAGAGTGGGGGTGGGGATGAATTCTTTGTCTTTTCTGATGTTGGTGCAGGTTTTGGCGTGGCAGTTACTGTGACAGATTTCTCCTCTGTCTCTGGAATGTAAAATCAGTCTAAGAGCAGAGTTTATACACCAGCATACTGTACCTCTCTCTAAAAAGGAACACGTTCTAATGTTACAATGTCCTAAGGCTTTGACAGTTATTTGAACTAGAGATGAATACAGCAGTTTGAATCTGAGACCATGTTTTGATATGTTTTCTTTTACTTACTGGGTGTGGTCACAGCAGTGGTGGCAGCAGCAATTGTTGTAGGGACAGATGTAGTGGGAGGACGAACACTTGTGTCGGGTGTCTGAGTTGCTATGATGACAGATCAAGTAGTGTACAATAAGATGCAAATCATCAAAACGTATGTGGTGGATATTTTAATCAATAATGAGGTCAATCACCAATCAGAATATTAACTTTATTAAAATAACGTATCGATAAGGGAGCTGGTCACACCACCCACAGAGTGAGTAGAGTGAGAGCCCACTGAGTGGAGTGAGCCTCTGGGTTATCTACTATCTCAGTATATGTGCAACATCAGAGATGACGTACAATGGTTCCAGACACCAACCCCACACATCCTGTGCCAGACCTTGGCCCCAAATACAAAGAACTTGTTGTTTTGTTCAGTACTAAGAACTTAAAAGGACATTTGTTGTTACTTAGTCTCCAGCTTGCTAAAAAAGGAACCAGGGGAGAGAACAATCTCCCCAAGGCCCAAGGAGGGGGTGACTGACACATAGACATTGTGGAGACAAGTGATTGGTTCCCCATTACTCACGGCATCCCTTCACATGGTTTGCAATAGGTAAAGACACATATTCACATATGGAAACAATGTTTCCTTCTAAAATCCTTTGCCCTATTCTCTTTCTGATATTCTGCATAGCAACAGGGACGTGTGATAGACAAGCCTGACTTCTCCCCTCTCTGGGCCCCAGGTGACTGAGTCCGAAAGGAGACATTCTAATAACAAGAGTTCAACAGTTCAATCATATAAGCATATTCTGCAGATAAGACATCTTAATTATCTATGTTACTTAGCTAATTCTGATTTCTCCACCAAAAGTAGCAGCAGGAGTCGTAGGTGATGAGCAAATCTTCGACTTAAAAATGCAACCAGATTTTTTAAATTACTATCACTGTCTATGTGTCTGCCTATTATTAATCTCTTGAAATATTACCTAAATAATGCTAATATTTCATAATATATCTACGTGGAACTTGGTCTAATGGCAATCCATCAGGTTGCCCTGCTGCTGGTTCTGGTATTGGCGCAGTGGTCTAAGGCACTGCATCGCAGTGCTAGCTGTGCCACTAGAGATCCTGGTTTGAATCCAGGCTCTGTCGTAGCCGGCCGCGACCGGGAGACCCATGGGGCGGCGCACAATTGGCCCAGCGTCGTCCAGGGTAAGGGAGGGAATGGCCGGCAGGGGATGTAGCTCAGTTGGTAGAGCATGGCGTTTGCAACGCCAGGGTTGTGGGTTCGATAAAATAATGTATGTGCTAACTGTAAGTCGCTCTGGATAAGAGCGTCTGCTAAATGACTAAAATGTAAATGGGTCTTCTGATCTTTTTGAACAATACTTAACTTCTGTGGCAACACCATAACCATACCGAACGACAGACAGGAAAAAAATAACTTCATGATTTAGTAAGTTGTTTACGTTTTTAAGACTGAATGTAATATAATGTTGGCTAATAATTCCTGCTAAGAGAACCTATAATTGTACCACATTTAGCAACAAGATTCACCTGCAGACTAATTCTCGGTAAAGTGCGGCTCTAAATCCTAATACAATCTAGAGGATGTGAGCACTCCAAAGAGCTCACATTATGACAGATCAAAATTCACCATTTCTATCTTGGTTGCTAAAACATTTCCTCAGAAATAATCGTCCCTTTTAGATCCAAAGGTTAGACAATTGTGTCGTTCCTGTTTGGCAGGGTTTGAAAGACCACTGTCTGACATACATCATTTTTTTTTTTTATAGTCCGATTTTAACGAGAAAGCCACCCAGTCTGTGACACTTTGAGGTGGATATCCTCTGCTTCAGGCCCAGACCTGTGAAATGCTGCATCCTGTCCCAGACAGAGTATTGTTGTCCCCTGGCCCCAACAGCCAAAGGGCCAGGCAGGATTTCCTGTCTTCTCCCCCATCAGAGAGGGGCTTTTGCAGCTTCAGCTCGACCGTCTTCGTGCCTGATGTTTCACACTGACTTTTGAGCACATAACCCAATGCTTTTGTTTATTTTCCCTCTGCTATATCTGCATTTTGTCTTGTACAGAGACCACTCCTCATCGGCAGTGGCGGCAGATTCACCCCTGCCCCCACCCTTTCAGAATAAGTACTGTACCTTATGGCAACACTAATAATCTATTTCCATGATACAGACAAATGGAAAGCGCAATCATTAAGCTTACATGGTAGGCTAAATACACTTGCATTTCACCATTTATCAGTTTAATTTTCTGTATATAATGGCGGGACATATTTATCAGGGAGAAAACGTCAATTTCTCTCGTCACTGTAGAGAGGCTTGCACTGCAGTGACCTTTGCTTGGGTGTTTCCTGCAGGTGTTTAGATTCATGCTGGAAGGAGATTTGCTGCCGATTGGACCATTTCACTTCACAATAATCTCTCCCCCTGTGAGAGAAAGGGCAGTTTGGTTCCCACTGGCTATCTGCAGTTCCAATCACCTCTCTGGGCAGTGCATGGTGGTTAACGGTCCTCTTGGATCCGTGCCCATGCTCCAATCAAAACAAACAATCTGGAGACTCCCTCTTTTTCTTTTCCACCAGCCCAAGTAACCACATTCATTTGTCTTGGCCTTGGACGTGTTTTTATTCCTAGATGTTTTGTCTTTGTTATTCGTGTTGTCCGATGCATTACATCCCTCGAATAGTTTGCCAATGATGGCTAAAGTTGATCATAAGTCGACTTGAAATAAAGTAGACTTGAAATAAAGTAGACTTGAAATAAAGGTGTAAAGTGAACACAAGGTGATGAACAGGGTTCCTCATACACACCTAATAAAGACTATTTTAGGTGTGCATTTTGTCTTTCAATAGACCTCTAGTAAAATAGGGATGCTTTAGGTCCTGCCAATAGCTTTGGTTGATCTCTCTGTCAACATTCATGTCCATGTGCCCCTCTTGGGTGACTTGCACAATGGGGACTCCTGAGTGGCGCAGTGGTCTGCCACTAGAGATCCTGGTTCGAGTCCAGGCTCTGTCGCAGCCGGCCGCAACCGGGAGACCCATGGACGGCGCACAATTGGTCCAGCGTCGTCCAAGGTAGGGGAGGGTTTGGCCGGCAGGGATGTGGGTTCGTTTCCCACGGGGGGCCAGTATGAAAAAAGAAACGTATGCATTCACTAACTGTAAGTCGCTCTGGATAAGAGCATCTGCTAAATGACTAAAATGTAATGTAAAATGGGGAGGTTTATGAGTTATCCTGGTAACACTTGACGCAATTTAACACAAAGTGTTCAGAAATTGTATACTACTTTATAAATATTAATTGCACCTTATTAAGGTTTGTGGCTGTACCTTCCTCCACATGGGGTTGACCTGGATAATTTACATTATTTTGGGAACACCACACAACACAAGATTCCCATCAACAACAATAAAAAACAATGCTGCTCTTATCTCATGCTCAGGGCAAATGGAGAAACCCACTTAGGCATCACTGGACGTCCCTGGAGTAATGTTAAACGTGTGAGCCTGTCTGTTAGAACAACTCCCAGACATACAATAACATAATTAATGATCCAAATGTCCATATACAAGATTTTTTGTTGCAAACCAAGTCTGATTAAGATGGTAAGTAAATACAACAGCCAATTAAAACAATTATTCTACTTATCAAGACAAAATAACTATACAACTCCAATTACTGGTAAGTCATGTTGTCTATTTTTTAAGCATCCATTTTACAACTGTTATTCATCTAATAGCTCTAGACACAGCTGTGTAACTTTCTAAATCCATTACTGCCTGGATTCCAAAATTTCTGAAAAAGTTCTGGTTATGCGACAATAGATCCTTTGTCATCACATGCGATCTCTTATCCAAGTAAGTTTGTAGTAATATTTTACTCCCAAAAGCAGATCTAAATATCCCTGTAGGCTTACCTGTAGTGAGGAGCTGGAGCAGGGTTAGGAGGAGGATGAGAAGGGCTATCCTAACGGTCTTCATGGTGGTTCTACTGAGCGTTCCCCTCCTGGGTCCTTTTTAGGGTTCTGCAGTGCTGTGTGAGCCACTGCTATCAACCAGTGGAAAAGTTGTTCACATTCTTGCCCATTGCTGCTTATTGGCACTTCCTTTAGATAAAAAATGGGAGGAAGTAGACCAGCTTCCCTCGAGGGCGGAGGGTAGTGGAAGGCTGCTTCGGCCAGTGGGAGGTCTTTCTCGGGTCCCAGTCTGGACAGGAACTCGGCCCCTAAGGTGTGTTTGTACTTCATCGCCAACTCCTGTCACTTATTTTTTCCTGCCCTCACGTTGCAGGCGCGGCGTGACCGGTGTGAACGAGTCTAGTAAGTGACTCAGACTAGGCTGGGCTGTTTATGACCCAAAACAACATGTACAGAATTTGATCACTTTTGTTGCTGAGAATTTTCCTGCAAAGCAAGAAATGCAAACTTGTAGTGTTTTTTAGTTTTAGAAGGCTTCTAAAGTTTGTAATTTCCACCAATTTCCAAATTTCAGATTTTATTTGCCCTAACGAAAAATGTATCAACCCCTACAAAAATGTCATGTTGCTGCATAATTATTTTTCTGCTGTAGCAAACTAGCGCAAATTAAGATCCTACATCTGTAGGCCTATCAGTTCAGAATGGGCTTTCAGGAAAATAGTTTTGCCTCAAACTGAACTGCATGTTCAGGTCTTCAGCTTACCCTTGAGACACCCACATTTGTTACACTTGTTATGTGAACCGCGCTCACTAAAACCAATATAGTGGTAAGTTGCAACTCTCGTTTGACCCTTTTTTTATATAGCTAGGACCACTTGCTAGGACTTGGCACCAAACTCTACTGAGATGGTGAAAGGGACACCCCATCGTCTTCATTACAGTTTATTTTAATGAACAGTTAACTGTGAGCCATACCCATTGGTGATTAACGTCAGTTCCTCAGATAATTTCTCGAGCCACATATCTACATTTGCATAGCTGCAGGGAGGAGGGTGGGATGAGAAGCTTTAATCAGCCCTTCCATCAGTAATCAGACTAGGCTTGCTCCCTCTCTGACCTCTAGGATCAGCATTGTTCTCCTACCCTGCCTCAATTCTGAGCAATTTGTCGGTTACACAAATGACGGTATATTGGCAACACTTTAATTTACAGGCCTTTTCCCTGCAAGTCTTCCCTAAGTCGTTGTAAATGAGAATGGCCAACTTATAATAAGGGGCAAAAAAAATGATTTAACACCTTGTTTACATGACAAAAACCCCCACTGTAAAACCAAGTATTAGATGTATTATGTAATCATATAAAAAAATATAATTGCAATGAAAATAAAGTCAATATTGTTTGATAAATGAATATAAGGGACTGAGTGTCACATTTTTATAGTGTGGTGTTACATGCAAATAAAAATGTGTCAAAATCACGGTCTACAAAATGTATTGCACTGTCTAGAGATCACCTAACAATCTATTGCAACAATGCTAAATAGGCTACATCTCAGCATCATGACCTATAGCAACTTTAAGCCATCAGTTTGATTATTCATAATTTCAATTAATTATTTAAAAAATATAAAGTATGAGCAGAAGCAGTGCACCTCTTTGTAAAGGGATCTCATTCTTGGAAAGCGATGAAAAACGGAATAAATTCCCAATATATTTTTTTACCAAGTTTTATGCATGTTTCATGTATTCAAATACGCACATTATTACTTTTTTCTATGGGACTGGTGAAGTCAGCTCATTGTGGAAGAAAATGAAAGAAGCGGATGAGTGTGAAGCAGCTAGAATACTATTGATGACGTCTTCCATTCTTCTTTGTTTTCATACAAGTGTCACGTACGCAGATGACCTTATACTGGTTGATTGAGAATGTTATTGTTATAGTATTGAGGTTGCAGACATTCACTTCCCCCGTATGAAGAATGTGAGCCAATAGTGGATTAAAACAACAGATCTAAAGAACTTCTGGATAGATCTATTGAATTAGCATTCTAAATCCAGATATGTGCTTGCTAGAGGATTTGATGCAATAGTCGATTTGCATGAAGGTGCAAGTAACATGTAAAGAAGTTGCACACACAGTGCTCTGTGGATTTTTTTTTTGTTTTGAAAATGTAAACAAATGATATCACATTAGAGTGAATCCTCTCTTTAAAAAGTGTAGGGCCAGGATTCAATCCAATGGGCTTTGCGGCTATGCACCGACATATGCAGTGTTTACTGTGAATGTGGTCTCCGCGAAGGCAGGAACATTGCCTTTAAAAGGTGCATGGCCGACAAAGCGCGATCGGATTAACTTTGAGCTTTACCTGTGAGGTTTATTACTTTGCTCCTTTCCAAAGTCAAGGCTCTGGCCTTCCCTAAACAGGATGTTAGAACATGCTTCCTTCCATTGTGCATTGTAACTCATGTACAACTGAACAAGTCAAACAAGGGCCACTGGGAGGGACTCCATATCTGTTAACATCTGGCTGCAGCTCTACCTCACACTTGTGACACTGTCAGAACCCCACCAAACTAGTCTTAAATGTTGATGACACTGTCAGAACCCCCCCCCCCCCCCCCACACACACACACACACATTATTCCCACATTATTCAGTGTGGACTGGATGCTTAACTCTAAAAGCACCAACAGGGGTCAATTTGACCCCAAGGGGTAAAAAAAATGTCATTTCAAAATCCTTCAGAAAATGTTTTGCTTTGTCAAGCAACTAATTATCAACAACAAATATGACAACTTCCGGAGGACATCCTCCAACCTATCAGAGCTCTTGCAGCATGAACTGACATGTTGTCCACCCAATCAAAGGATCAGATAATGAATCTAGTACTGAAAGCATAAGCTACAGCTAGCTAGCACTGCAGTGCATAAAATGTGGTGAGTAGTAGACTCAAAGAGAGAAAGACAATAGTTGAGTAGTTTTGAACAAATTAATTTCTTCCAAAATTAAGGAGAAGCGAGAGAGAGAGCTAGCTATATTTCATAGTATATCTTTTTCACTTTCACTTTCACAGCTAGCATCGAATGCAACTTACTAGTTTAGCCTACTCAAACCCCCGGCTCAAACAGAGGGATGCTATGTTAGCTAGCTGGCTATGGCTATCCAGCACTGGAACTCTTCCAAGTCAAGGAAAGCTTTTGGTTTGATACATTTATTTATACACTGCTGACTGTACACTGTACTGCATGATTGTAGCGGGTTTACTAATGTGTTAGTTCTAGTAGCTATGTTGACCATGACGTGACAACGATGTAGGCTGTGTGCGGTTAGCGGTCATGATATGAAGGTTTGGCTTGGAAAGGTTTTTCGCCTGGTCTCAGACAGCTGATGTGATGTGCACTGAAGTCCACAAGTGAAGGGACCTCCCTGACCAAGACCCTTCTCCCCGGATTGCTCAGTTTGGCCGTACTGCACAACGAGGATGAGAAAGTAACTCGCTGGTTGGGGTAAGTTTCTCAAAACAAGTGATATCGCAAAACACGTGTCTGGACCCTTCTATAACATGCCATTTACATCAAAAATTTAGCTTTGGTTGTAAAAAGCAGAATTCTCCTTTAAGCCAAGTCTCTTAAGTTCCAGCGACTAGAGAGATACATACTTGTTGGGAGGCAGCTATGAAATCCAATTTATGAAATAAATAGTATGCTATAAATAATAATTTATTGAGAGCTCATTATGAATGTTTTGGTGAATGCTATGTCATCATCACTCAGTCATCATGCAAAAATTTCCAAAATAGTATATATTTAGGATGTAATACATTTTAATTTTTTATGTTTACATTGACTTGAAATCTGAGAATAGGAATATATCACACACAAATAAACAGTTTCATTAAAGTTGAAATACATGCACATTTTTTATTGAACAGTAGTATAAAATACTTGTTCATAGTTGCGAGTGCATGCTTCATCTGCCAACTGTTTTGAAGCTAAATTACAAAAGCAAGGCTTTATGTCATGTAGTGAATTACTTGGGCACTTAAGCAGTTTTAAAAAAGTTTTTTTTTTTATCTTAAAGTATTAAGCAGTAACAAACCTGTAACTGATATACAAAGCAGAGTTCCAAATAATAATAATAATAATATTAATAATAGTAATCAAATTACACTTTCTGTGGCACATTTACAAAACAGAACGAACATTTCTAAACCGTTATGACACTAACAGTTATCATGCATTTTGAGTTCCACATGTAACCACAAACCTCACAAGAATTGCCAAACATGCTAAATCTGACTGTGTACACTTACAAGCGCATGTTAAAAATATGATTCCTTTTCCATCTCAGATAGTTAAATGCTTCAATTATAAAAGAAGTTGAAGGCATATAAAGCATTATCATGGTGTTCATTTAATGAATGCCGATATACATTTCCAGTATATATTCACTAAGCGCACTACATTTAAAAACAGGCCTCCGTAGCCAAGACATTCAATTCATTTATCCATTCCTTTGTTTCATTTTATAAAACATGCATAGGCAGACACTTTCAGTTGATAGTTTCTTTACACAATATAGGTTCTTCATGTTTACTTTGTTCGCAATACTTTAAAGAGAGAAATGAACACTCACAGAATTCCAGCAAGCCACAATAAAATCTATATCCCCAAAAAACAACAAAAACATATTTGCAAATAATATATAAATGTAAATTCCAGTTATGAAATGCCCCAATAATAGGTATTCATCACCAAGGTAATAATTAGCAATTTTCCAGAAATCTGGGTCAAAAGCACACACCACATGAACCTGAGGTAAGCATAATCTGTACAAAACCATAAAACTTTCAATTTTTTGGCATTTCAACAATGTTGCAACATTCTATTTAAGACTGCCTAATTTATTTCAGAGCTATTTTATAAGAGTAGCAAAAAAAGTTATCAATAAATAGTCCTTATTTAGTTTGTACACCCTTATATGTTAAAAACATGTTTTTTTACGTTTTGCCCTTTTTAGTGCTGTATTTTGTAAACGTACAATAGTTAGTAAGAAGTTACACAAAATTTCCATATCCAGTAAAACCGGGCTCTCCAACCCTGTTCCTGGAGAGCAACCGTCCTGTAGGTTTTCACTCCAACCATAATGAAGCGCACCTGATTCTAATAATTAGCTGGTTGATAAGCTGAATCAGGTTAGTTACAACTGGGGTTGGCGCGAACCTACAGGAGGGTAGCTTTCCAGGAACAGGGTTGGAGAGCCCTGCAGTAAAATGAGCGAGGGGCTTTCATAAAAAAAAAACTAACAAAAAAAATCTCTCTCTCTCTCTC